ACACATACACACCCTCTCTCTCTCTCTCTCTCTCCGTAAATTTTAGTCCATGTTTGGTCAATTAGCTAGTTTCTAAAGGTCCGACTGAATGGTATACTTTCTGATACCGATTCTTGGTTTTTTGGGCCGAATTCTTGCAGTGGATGAGCCGCGGAAGCGTACATTTCAGGTAACATCTCTTTATCTTTCTAGATCTGCTTGGATCTTGGGCTGGTTGCGATGAATTCTTGATTCCGCGTTACAATTCTGTGTTTTCTGTGTCGAAGATGGGTTCTCGGAAGTGGTTCTCGGGGGATGTACAGCGATCTTGATGTTTTGCAAGAATGATTTCTCGAAACGTTGTTCTCTGTGATTGATCTGCTTTGTGAGAGCAGTGATACGTTTGGTACTGTCTTTTCCGATTTTTGCTAAAGTTACTGCATCCGATGAGATGGATGGATAGATTGGTCTAGTGGTTAATAACAGCAGATGCTGGTGTTTCGTCTGGAATCTACATGTTCTAGGAGATACTAAGTTTATTACTGGTTGGATCTTGCAAAAGAGCTTGGCAAGCCGCTGAAATCGAAATGGGAAAGCAATGTGCTCCTCGTTGGGACGGAGAACAGAGCTTCTGGTACATGTTCCTGATAGCATAATATCTGATGGTGTCCCATATCCCAAAATAATCACACATTGGTTGTGTGGTTAGGGGCTTGACCCGTGTGGTTTTGGGATTTGATCATGATATAATTCGTCCTGCTGGGATTTGTTGCAGTGTAGAAGCTTTTAGTGTTCAATTGCTTGTTGAACTATTATAATTTGAACATCGCTCCTAGTGTAGTATAGTGGTCTTAGATGTTGAGATTTCTTCACTAGTCTTCTTCTATTCATTGACTATTAGTATATATATACTATATTCATTAAAATTATTGTCTTTGTTAGAGACATCTTTCTTTCTAGAATCTAACCAGCCATCTCTCTATTATGACTTCCTTTTGAAGTGCCACAATTTGTAATAAATATTGTCAAATGGCTGTTTATTATGTATTTGATGCTTTGAAATAGATTTTACAATATCCTATCTATTCACCAAAAGAAGAGCATATTCACCACCATTTGTTCTGTTGCCGGGACATTAATGAATAGGTAGACTACTAAACCTTGCTAATCATATTGTCCTTTCCCACTGTGCTTTTGGTCATTTTGTGCATACTGGGTGAACTGGCATTACAGTATCTTCTTGTAAGTGATGACATCTATGGCCAATACTGTTTCCACAATTGATCATATATATTAATTGCTTATGGAATGGTGAGGCAGCTACTTCTGATACTTGATAATGGTTTACTCTTGTTCTTTTATGAGCATCTGCCATTCAATGAACTTGAAATGTGTCATACTCATAATAAACAAATAATAATGTTTATTTATTATTTTCTGATGGAGATTTTCAGGAAGAAACAATAACAGATAACTTCTGATTTCAGTGCTAGTTATTGCATTAGTATGTCTGGTTGTCTGTTAATCCGTGGCTTAAAGAAAAAAGTTATTGTGCTTTTGCTTCTGCCTCTATCTCTCGCAATGGAATAGTGGTCCCTCCCCCATAATCTTCAGGTTTTGCATTTGCTTTGTGTTAATGCTCACAGGTTGCCTTTTTTTGTATGTTTGAGAGCTTGTATTATCATGTCTTATAAATAAATGTTGTTTTTAGATCAAAATCCCTTTTATTTATTGAGAAAAAATGCTTCATGAGTTGATTATGTGGATGGTGACTTCATGTTTCGATTGTTTCATTGGTAGAATATGCACCAGGGATATCCAACAGCAACGTTAGGGCGCTTTCTCAAGGCCAGAGAGTGGAGTGTTGCCAAAGCACATAAGATGGTGTGTCTATATCACCTAGTTGTATTGCTTTTCTTTTGTCAATAAGAAAACTAGTAACTTTCTTTGTCACAGCTGATAGATTGCTTAAACTGGAGGATTCAAAATCACATCGATGACATCTTGACTGTGAGTTGTACCCTTTATTTTTGTTTGTTAGAATTGTTGTTATTTGATGAAATCCCAGTCAGTTCATCAACTATGACATATTATACATATTACATAGTACAGACTGAAGAATGTTTCTTATTTCTGTACTTCATCTTATTTGCTAGTTGCTTACAATTCTGCTTTAAGTTGGCCACATAGTTTTGTCATCATTAAAAATCATTACACAAAAGAAGTTTCTTAGATCTGTAAAAGCAAATTGTACCAGATGCTACTTAAAAGGTTGCAAAAGAAAAAGGAGAAGTCAAACACAAATGATGAACATTGATAAACCTAGTATGCTAATTCACATTGATTTTGAAATTCATTTTGTAAAAACACTAATCTGTTGTTTCACTGTTTTAATGTGATGCTATTTGCGTGTAGAAACCTATAATACCAGCGGAATTATATAGGGGGGTTCGTGACTCGCAACTTATCGGATTGTCAGGATACTCAAATGAGGTATTATCTTCTTCTGTCTAAACCAACTTTAATCTTGCTATAATCATGCTATTGAATGCCACTGGTGATAACTTCAATCATGTGCCTCTTGAAATCCCGCAACTTTGTACTGATGTGCTGCATGCACAAAATTTTTTCCATATCATGCCTTTCCCTTCACCTCCCTTTTAGATGATGAAGTAATGGTCATTTAGTATCAATAATGAAAGATCGTGTTTTTTGCTTAACTTAGTTTGAAGCTTGTTCTTTCACTTAATCAGCAGTAACAAACTTATTATTGCAATCTTGGTAATTGATATGGTACTTTGACTTTTTTGGAAAATGGTCCTGGGATTGTGCAACATTGGGAAGGGGAACAATTACAAGTTGGGGAATGAATGGTTATTCTATCAGTAAAAGAAACCATGTAGAATAGTTGGAGGGTTTAACTGTGTTGGCCTTTCTGTTTATATAGAACTAAGTTCTCTTTCAGGTCTCTGTAGTTTTGTATGTGCCAAGAATTGAAAGCACCACATGCCAATTTCTGCAACATGGGCAAACACAATACACGCCTTGCCCCAGCAATCTAAACCAGACGCATCTCAATCTGTGCTAGTTGTAGCTATATATTATTATGCACAAGCATTAACCAGCATAGTATATAGTATTGTATCTTGTCTATGCTCTTATTCTTTTATTATGCTGCATAGTGGCTCTCACATTTGCATTTTAACCCATTGTATACTCCATTTTTTCAAGTTGTTAAAGATTTAATTATTCTCTTTCTATATTGTTGGAAGACTTTGAGAACTCATTCTTCCATAATATTAGGTGCTGCCAAACAAGGTTGGCATTTTATTAGCTGGTTAGATCCAAGAACACTCGCATACAGCAATGTGCAATTACATATACTGGTACTAAGGCAACAACATTTACCTCATGCACCATTTCACTAGAATTGTACTCACCATTTAGTTTGCAGCATTGTTCTTGATAAAGGACAAGATACTTGAAGGTTTCCTGTTTTGGTGCATCTCTGATTATATGGAGACTTGCCTACATACATGCCTACCTGTTCTCTATGGATTACATGGGTCCAACTTTTAAAAGTTTATCTGCTTTACACGTGGGTATTATTAGTTGCAATGCCACTGAGACAGTACAAAATTGAGAAAGTGACATCTTTATATTTAAAACACAAGCTGAAGTAATTTCTCTTTAAACTGTAATCCTTTGTGACTGTCCACTCTGGCTCCATCAAAATTTGATGCATTTCTGGAAGCAGGAGATTTTGGTAATTTGTTCAAGAATATTTGTCATGGTAGGATGTGCCGAACCCAAGAGACTTTTAGGATTATTAGTTATTTTTCTCACGTTGGTACTATATGTACTGTTTGTTACCTGTAAATAGGTTCTATAATTCAGATCTTGCAGAATGACTTCATTACTTCATAAAACAGAAATCTTCCATTATTTTTGACTTTTCTACTTGTCATGCATATGTTTTCATGACCGTATTGAAATACTGTGCATTAGTGTTTGTCAACAACAACAAGAGGTTGTAGACAACTGCTTGAGTTGGCCACATGGATCCTCTTCTGCTATTGAGCTCTTTTGAGGGCAATATCAGTAGTTAAACTAAGAGGCATCAAATTCTTTCTTCCAGTGCTGAACAGAGTCTTCTCAGGTCTTGTCCATATATCCTCACATGATAAATTTTGACCTGACTTACCTTGCCTAATTGATGCATTTATAGTCAATGCATTAGTTGTTCAAATCAAGTAAAATTTAAATTATTTCCTTGTTTGTTTTCTGGAAATGCCTAAGATGCTTTATGACTCCTACAAATAATAACTATTTTTAAAAAATGTAAACTATAGTTAGCTTACTTTTCTCCTTTACCTCTATTACAGGGGCTTCCTGTTTTTGCAATAGGTGTTGGCCTCAGCTCATTTGACAAAGCGTCGGTGAGATTAATGACAATTCCTTTATTTTAGAGATGTTGTTTCTTTCACAAATTAGAGTGCAGAATACTCAGACAAAACTGTGGCAGGAGAGTACATCTTTTTATGCTGTAGCATTTACTGGTCATTATTTTTTAAAGCATATTTCTGAGACATCATCTGATTTTCACAGGTTCAAGATACTCTTTTTGTTTCTTCTTTTGATTTAGATGGAGCTACATCTTTGCTTGATGTCGTGCTTAGTCGGTTATACTAAATCATCTGTTGTTGCTACCGATGAGCCTTTTTATCAAGAATAGAGTCGCAAACACAAAAGGACAGATACGAGGGGATAGCTACAGCTAACATCGGATGTTTTCTTAATTTTCCAAATGTTACATGACTTACCACTATGTTGGGAATATATTTATATATATGTATATATATATGTATATGTATATGTATGTATATGTGTGTATGTGTGTATATATATGTATGTATGTATGTATGTATATATATATGTATGTAATGATATATATATATATATATA